GAATGACACATGGGAGTTAACTTCTTTACCACCCGGTAAGAAGCCCATTGGTGTCAAGTGGCTATATAAGACGAAGTACAAGCCTGACGGTCAAGTGGACCGACATAAAGCCAGGTTGGTTGTAAAAGGCTACAAACAAAAGCCAGGTATTGATTATTGTGAAGTATTTGCACCAGTGGCTCGAATGGATACCATTCGGATGATCTTAGCACTCGCAGCTCAGAATCGTTGGAAGATCCATCAAATGGATGTGAAATCAGCACTTCTCAATGGTGTTCTTGAAGAGGAAGTCTATGTGGAGCAACCGCAGGATTATAAGAAGAAAGGGCATGAAAATCAAGTTTACAAACTAAAAAAGGCATTATATGGGCTAAAACAGGCACCTCGAGCGTGGTACACGAGGATTGACACTTACCTATTAGAGCATGATTTTCAAAAGTGTCCGTATGAGCATACATTATATATCAAGTCAAATACTAACGGTGACATAATAATTGTGTGCCTTTATGTTGATGACTTGATATTTACAGGTAGCTGTCCAAAGATGTTTGCTGAATTCAGGGAGGCTATGACTAGCCATTTCGAGATGACAGATTTAGGATTGATGTCCCTTTTTTTAGGCCTTGAAGTGAAGCAAACAAATGATGGCATATTTATTTCACAGCAGAAATATGCTAATGATATTTTGAAGCGATTGAAGATGGAATCACTCAAACCAATACGAACTCCCGTAGCAGAACGATTGGAGCTAAAGAAAGAAGGAGCCGATGAACTAGTAAATCCCACTTATTTTAAAAGCATCGTTGGCAGTTTAAGATATTTGGCTTCTACTAGACCAAATATTACTTATGGCGTGGGAATTATTAGTCGGTATATGGAGAAACCATACCAATCACATTTGCAGGCAGCAAAAAGAATTTTACGGTATGTCAGTGGAACTCGTAATCATGGAATTTTATATTCTTATACCGATAATTTTAATTTGGTGGGGTATACAGATAGTGATTGGGCAGGTGATACTAAGACTCGAAAGAGTACTTCTGGAAATGCTTTCTTTCTTGGATCGGGAGTAATTTCTTGGTCCTCGAAAAAGCAACAAGTCGTTGTACTTTCGACAGCTGAAGCAGAATACATAGCGTTATCTTCAGCGGCATGTCAAGCAATATGGCTTCGTAGGATGTTGTGGAATTAATGCATGAACACACAGGTCCTACCAAAATATTGTGTGATAATAAATCGGCTATGGCTTTAGCCAAGAATCCAGTTTTTCATGGCAGGAGCAAACACATCAACATCAAGTATCACTAAATTCGTGATAGAGTCAAAGATGGCGAGATCGAACTTAATTTCTGTAGGTCAAAAGATCAGATTGCAGATATTTTGACAAAATCATTGAAGACGGAGACGTTCAAAAGTTTAAAGATGATGCTCGGTGTTGTTGAATTCCAAAATCAATTTTAAGGGAGGCTATTGGAAGAACATAAAATTGATTATTGGTGTGATTGAGCACGTCAGTTGCTGGAAACTACAAGCGTTAAAGAAGAGTCATAAAGACTACAACGTGGCTTCGTTTTTCTTCAATAGATTAAGCTGTTTTATTGTCTTTCTTAATGATTGTGGATTGTTATGTTTTCTTTATTAAATGTAATCATTGGAGTTTGTGAACTTCAATTCCTATATAAAGGGATGAAGTCGTGAGTTGTAAATCAAGCCAAACACAAAGCCACAAAGACAAAGCATTCTAAATAAAAAGTTCTCCATCCAATAATTATTTGTGCTCTTATTCCAAGTTTCCAAAGTTTATTATTATTCTTTTGGTTCCAACAGTCCTAGCCCTCGGCCAGACTAGGCGAGGGCGTCGCGACCCTCGCCGGCCAATACGCAAGAGTTGCGGCCTTCACCTGGATATGGGCGAGGGCCCGACATTCTCGTCGGCCAACAGTTGAGAAAAAAAGAAGGGAAAATTTTCAAAAAAGGGCCTGAAGTAAACTTTGTGTCAAATAAAAACATGAAGTGCCCTCATTTTCTCAAATAAGGACCCGAAGTGGATTTTGTGTCAAATAAGGGCCTGACGTGGTTATTTCTGTTTCAAAGAAAGGCCTAACTTTCTGAATGGTAGGGGCATTTACGTCTTTTAACTTTTTTTGAATTCATTTCGTTTCTTTTCGCTTTTTTTCCTTTTTTCTTTCTTCTTTTTCTGGTTTCTCTTTATTCTTCGCCCGTGGCCTGCTAGCGAAGCCCGGGAAGGGCTGGGCGACCTGGCGAGGGCCACCCTCACCATGGCAAGGCCATCCCTCGCCAGATCGAGTGATGGCGACCCTCACCCAGCCCTTCCCGGGCTTTGCCGATGGCCGGGCCCCGCCACTGGCAAAACAAAGAGAAGATCAAAAAAGGAAAAAAACAAAAAGAAAGGAAAAAAGAAAGAAAAGGAAAAAAAAAAAAGAAAGGAAAGGAAAAAAGAAAAAATTAAAATTATTTAAAATTAAAATTAATTTTGGACGAAAATGCCCTTGACCTTGCCGGTCGCCGGTCGGAATATTTCGCCGTCTGGTGACCGGCGACGTCAGGCCCTTATTTGAAACTCTCATGACCACTTCAAACACTTATTTGAGACTGACGTGCCATTTCAGGACTTTATTTGACACAAAGTCCACTTCAAGCCCTTATTTGAAATTTTCCTGAAAAAGAAGGAAGGAAAGAAAAGATAAAATATAAAAAATTCAGAATAAATAAATAAATAAAATTGTTCACGTCAGCGCCAGCCGTGTCACATCCACATAGGACGGCTGGCGCTCATATTAGTGATTTCCAGTCAAAATTAGTTAAATAAGCTTTATTGACAAATTATCAAAAGATTTAGGACTCAATGGGCACAATTAAAAAGTTTAAGATTGAATTGGTACAAGTGCAATATATTTATAAACTTTTTTTTGTAATTTTCCCGAGAAACGTGAGGCACCATGTAACGTGATCCTCGTGGAACCATACTTTTTCTCTTCATGTTTTGATTTGCGCTTGAAGAAGAGGCGTGTAAGATTGCTGGGTGTCGAATGAGTGGAGAGATATTGGTGAGAGCAGTAGTGTCCAATCGAACGGGCCGAATGTTGATCACCCTCGCTCATCTTGTTGATAAATCACGATGCAATAATTGAGTTCGTGGATCCAATGACCTTGCCACAAAGTGTTCATGTGATTTTCGTAGTCCAAGCGCCTGCTACGAAAGCAATTTGTATGTTTTGCCGAGTATAATGCCGGAGAATCGAGGAGACTAGCTCACAAATCGGACTACATTTGACATGCCGAACAGGACCAGCATGCTCTAAAGTACCTTAAAGATTAACGATCCGACCATTTTACAAGAGCGGTGAGTTGCAAAGAGAGACTCAAATTAAATACGCAAGATGTGGAAGCAAAATGAAGATAGGGGCCTTTTTCGGGGATACTGGTTAAGCCAACCAACAAAGAAAAAAAAAAGATACTTTTCAAGACATTTTGAAAATTTTAATAGTACACGATACGAGAAGACTAGTTGCTTAAAACGGACAATTCAATGGTTTAAATGGACACTGAACGAGCCTTAACAAGTACTCTAATCCTAGGGGACGTTCTCTAACATTTTCCTAAACGGTTTTCTCTAGATCAAAAATAATAAATCAAGAAAAGTTGGTGAAGAACATTACATTTATAGCAAGAAAACAAGTGGAGAAATTGAGATAAAAACGGAAAGTGGTGGAGTAACAGGAAAGGCCTTGCATTAGATATGACTATATATGAGTTTGGACCTGCAATGGTTTTGACATATCACCTGATCAAACTGATTAGTGCAAAAAATTAGCACCTTGATCATCTTCAGAAGAATTAGACCTTGTCGTCGCTGTTAGTTAAAAAAACTAGATCATGATATGGAGACGGCAAACTCGAAAATACTAGCGATCCTCGTGAGCTGATCAGTTAAGACAAGCACGACACTTTCGCGGGTGCGCATACATCAAAGCCTGTTGGGCCAAGAGCATAGATATTGTTTGAAATCTCTCTATTCTCATTGCCTATGCAAGGCTAATCTAATCTGCATCCGAAAAAGCTAAAAAAGCTTAAAATATGGCCCTAACAAGCACAGTCCCAACAGCAAAATCCCCAGCGTCCAAAGACACCTCGTATTGGACATTGGGGCAGCAAGAAGCAAACTTAGGACCGTGGTCCTCGCTCCTCAAGTGTCCAAGACATCATGCACTAAGCCCAAAATCAAGCAGATGATTTACATGCTCTCGAATTTGCATGGACCTGGGCCCTTTTAGTTTCAACTTCTACAGTTTCTTAGGAAAAATTACCGAAAATATCTTAATCCTATTGCAATTATGCATATTCAGTCCTAAACATTTCTTTATGCCGATCAAGTCTAAAATATTTTTGCATTTGTGTCATGTCAGTCCATCTGATCAAGAATATTGTCAGCACAGTTCAAGAACAAGCTTAGCGGAAGTCACCCGTAAATGAAGAAAAACCGGGCATTTAACTTTTTCTCTTTTGGGCCAGACCGTTAATCTTTGGAAACTATAAATTGCATGACGCTGACTGCCGTGCTGATGCTGAATGAGAAAATCTAATCCCAGAGAAGCTCGCTCCGTTTGATCTCTAACGTTTTCTGCGTGCGGTAACATGCGCAGAACTGTTGTGTCCGAAAGACTCGTGAAACGATTCCAACAAACCTGTCTGATCTTTAACATCACTTCCACCTTTGTCTTGGTCCTTCCTTTGTCATTCGTGTCCGAGTCCCAAGACTAGTTCGTGCATCATGAGGCCAAAAGAAAAGGACCAACCAACCAGGTTACCCAGGGGCCAGAGCCCTGCCGACAGTGGCCATGACAATGACCCTACGTTACTGAAGACCCATCATCAAAAATTGCATGAAATTTCCACACGGCAAAAGCAAGAAACAGCTTCCATTGAATCTTTTAACCTTTGGTAAAACAAACGAAATACCGTTTCATCCTGTTCTTCCACTAGATATCATCTTCGCGGCCCGATAATCACCTCGGCAATGCGTGATCTCTTACAGCACTAGCGACTGAATCAAACTTATGCTTTTCCTAAAGAATATGACCTACCATATCTAGGGACCAGACGGTCTTGCACTGAAACAAAACAACCATCGCATGGCGGCAGAGAAAGAGAAATCGAAAACCCCAAAAAAAAAAAAAAATTCAAGCGCAGACAGCGAACAGTAACTGGTGGAGAAATACTGATTCAAGCTTGGGGCTTTTCCCACTTGAGGGGCTTCACCACTTCCCATGTGAAGTCGGCGTCGTCCCTCCCGAAATGTCCATAGGCAGCAGTCTTCAAGAACCTGCCATTGCCGCCCCTCTTGAGATCCAGGTTGATGGCAATCATGCCTGGCCTGAAGTCAAAGTTCTCCTTCACGATCTCCAGGATCTCCTTGTCGGGGATCTTCCCGGTACCGTATGTGTCGACAAAGACGGACAGGGGTTCAGGAACACCAATGGCATAGGAAACCTGAACGATGCACCTCCTCGCAAGCCCACTGGCAACAATGCTCTTGGCAGCCTGCCTAACGATGTAGGCCCCGCTGCGATCCACCTTGGTCGGGTCTTTCCCGGAGAAAGCACCACCACCATGAGCACCCCACCCACCGTAAGTGTCAATGATGATCTTACGGCCTGTGAGACCGGCATCGCCATGGGGACCACCAATCACGAAACGGCCTGATGGGTTCAGGTGGAAGATGGTCTTCTCATCCAGATACTTCTCCGGGATCACAGGCTTGATGACATGTTCCTTGAGATCGGCAGCAATCTCATCGTTGGTGACAGTCTCATCATGCTGAGTGGAGATGAGGACGGTGTGGACGCGAACAGGGACCATGGCCCCATTCTCATTGTAGTACTCAACAGTGACTTGGGTCTTCCCATCCGGCCTCAACCACGGGCAAGTGCCATCCTTGCGGACATCAGTGAGGCGGGCGCCAAGCTTGGTAGCAAGCACGTGGCTCAGAGGCATCAGCTCGGGCGTCTCATCAGTGGCATAGCCGAACATGTGTCCCTGATCACCAGCACCAATCTCCTCCGGCCGCTTGGTGAGATGGCCATGGACACCCTGAGCGATATCGGGACTCTGCTGCTCAATGTTAACGAGGACCTTGCAGTTATCAGCATCAAGGCCCACATCATCCGACACAAATCCAATGCCCCTGCAGGTGTCGCGCACGATCTTCTCGTAGTCGACATTGGCCTTAGTGGTGATCTCTCCAAACACCATGACCATGTTGGTCTTGGTGCAGGTCTCGCAAGCAACCTTGCTGTCGGGGTCCTGCGCCAAGCAAGCATCGAGGACCGCATCGGAGATCTGGTCGCAGAGCTTGTCCGGGTGTCCCTCGTTCACGGACTCAGAGGTGAATAGGAAAGTCTCCATTCCTATCAGCTGAAAAAAGCCAAATTGGTCATACTACAATCAATATCTTTCAACAGCCTTGAAGGGACGTCTTCTTGAATCTAGATCCGATCAAGAAATGATGGAAAATGCGCTAGCAATTACCAGAAAATGATTCTCCTACAGAAACAAACGACACAATGGAAGGAACCCAGGAGAATTTCAGGATGCCAACCTATCAAAAAATCAAAACCACAGGCAACGGATGGGACCGAAACGAAGCGAAGGACAACAACGAGCCCAAACGGGACGCTGGAATCACGGTAACACAGCGCAAATCGAACGACTCAGTGGCATGAGACTGAGAAAATCAAACACTCCACACACCAACCACGCTGATTTATCCCGGATCTAAACCGAAACAAAATTTCAAACCGTTCGCTTCTTCACCTTCAACCATTTCGTACGACTAGAACCAAACCGCAAAACGCTCCTTCAAATGAATCCGCTCAAGCAGAGAACGCAACGGGCTTAACGAGAACAGCGCCGGATCCACCACGCAGAAGCGAACTCGAAACCCAAAAATCCTACTCGAGAAAAGCTCGCAGATCCGCCCAAGTATCGAAGCGGGACACACATCGCGCAGACCAACTAGAAACGGAGCAATCCGGCCGGGAGAAGACGCGACCGTTACCTGGAGAGCTCGGCGCGGCGGACGAATTTCTCTGCGTGCCGGAACGGAGCGGGCGGCGGGGGTTGTCCGGCGTCGCGATCGGAGCGAAGGTGGCGAGGGACGGAGACGGCTGGAGCAGCAGTATTTATAGACGGTTCGAGGGAGGGAGTGACCCCCCCGCGAAGCGTGATCCGGGTCAGATTCATTTTAAGGGATCGGACGGGTGAGGATGGCTTGGGGCGGGGGCCGAGATTCGATCTCGGCCGTCGGCGCGGGTGGCCGTGTCTCCTGGTTGGACTGGGGCAGTCGGTGCGCGGTGGGGGGGTCGGTAGAGCGGGACCAAGACGCGTTTTTACCGGGAGTAGCCGGTGGGCGACAGACCACCAAGTCCTTCCCTGGCTGTCGACTGCTGTCTGAATGGATTTTTCCTTCTTCTTTTTTTTCCCTGTATTTTTTCATTTGGCCCTTTTTCTTTTGCTTTTAATGCGAAATCTCGCCTAAATATCTCAGTTTGGCTTGCCTCGGGAAATGATGGAAATAAATATTAGAATGGAAAATTTTTAGGAAATTTTGGTTTTTCTGGGAGAATGGAAATTTAGGGAAAAAAATTTATAATCAATGTATTTTGCCTCGTCTCTCTCTCTCTTCCTCTCTCTCTCCTTTCCAAACACAACATAAGAGGCGATCGTTTGGGCAACATTTTTAGGGATAATCGCATAAATGGTCTCTGAACTTTAACACGATGTGCAATGTGATCCATGAAATTTTTGTTTAATGTGTTCCATGAACTTTAACTTACTGTGATCCCTTAAATTTTAATTTGTTCAATGTGATTCATGGACTTTTGGTACATGTTCAATTCAGTCCGTGAACTACCGTAAATAGTTCATGGACTGAATTGAACATGTACCAAAAGTCCATGAACCACATTGAACAAATTAAAATTTTAGGACCACATTACACATTTGGCTACAGTTCAAGGATTACATTGCACATTGAGCCAAAGTTCATAACTATTTATGTCATTTTTCATATTTTTATTTCTTGAAAATACTAAAGAAATGGATCGAGAATTGGGATTCTAAATCTCATGAGGAAATGGGAAAAGAGTATCGAATTAGGGTGCACGCTTGTTTCGCAAAAAAGCAACGATATAGAAAATAGTTTCCTAAAATAATTGTTTATATCGTTTAAAAAAATAAGTCGACGAAAAAAAATTTCATCATCAACAACAATTTATACCTCAACATATTCGTTGATGACAAAGCTATTACTCGTTAATTTATCTTAGTAAGTGGTACAAGTGATTTTTTTTAGAAATCGTTATTTTTTTCGTGAAACGAACGCACCCCTTAGAAACTACATAACACTGCAAAAGAAGCATTGATTATCATTATTGATGAGAAATTTTCAAGGATCTTATCTAATTAGTTTTATTTGTCTGTGCTTTATTTAATCTTTAAAATTGAAAAAGAATTTCAAATATAACGTAACACATAAAATTAACGATTTCACGTTATCGTGAATTTTTTTTATGTAGAAAAAAGATTTGATGATTGCTGCCGGAATTAGTGATCTCTAATTATGAGTTCATTGCTTAGTCAAGTGGCGAAGTCTAAGTAAATTGCACGGGAAGTTCATTCGATGGCGTCACTTTGGTTTAGTTGTCAAATTAAGGCATTATGTTCAGTCAAAGAATTAAAGACTAAACTCGAAGAATTAGTTGTGATATTTCTTTTTAGGATCGAAAATAAATATTTCATTCATATCTCGAGATGATACACGAGAAGTTCAAAACAAAGCAAATCACAAATAACAAAGTAGAGCAACAGAGCACAAATTACCGTGATAAGTACACTCTTGTCCCACGAGAATTTATCTCGGTATCAAAATTGAACGAACGGCGACCGATTACCGAATCTAGCATCATCATCATTGATAAGCACATATCGTAATCTCCTTCTCCAATAGCTACGGCTTACCCAGTGAGTGGTGCGAGCCTAGGTTCAACGTCCTCAATGCCATCACCATACTCAACATACAATACAAATTGAACAAGCTCCCAAATCTAAATTTAGATCATGAGAGGTTGGCCGAGCACGGAAACACTTCCAAGGAACTCTCTTCGGGAAAGGAGAGCTCACATATCTAGATTTGGATCTGGAGATGAGAGCTTCTAGAGCTCGGAGAAGTCGTATAATCGCTCTCGGTGGTGCAGGAACTCACCGAGAAATAAGATGCGTTTTCAAGTACACTCCGTGAATCAGGAAATGGTCAAATGAGTTATGATTTTGCACATACATCAAAATGATCATTTATCCTCAATAAGGATGACATTAATAACTATTTCAAACTCAAAAGTAAATTTAGCAAACAAAGAAAACAAATTATTATTTAGAATGAATATCAAGTTTCCTACTTTTATGGGCCATGCGGTGGATAATGCTTAGGCGCGAATGATAACCATTATGTTTCCCTATTTTTCTAATTTTTTTGTTTCCGGGAACAGATTTGGAACAGAAATCCGATTGGTAAAATAATTTCATTTTTCTATTTCCGTCCACCGCCGCCCGCCGCCACCGCCTCCCGCTGGCCGTCCACCATTGCCCGCCCGCCATCATCCACCCGCCGCTGTCCGTCAGCCGCCTACCCCGTCCACCGGCCACCTGTCGCCACCTGCCGAGAAAAGAAAAGTAAAAATAACCTATCAAACAAATTTCTATTCTCAGAATAAAAATTTTATGTCATTATCAAACGTTATTTTTTGCTTACAAACTCATCCAGGGAATATAAATAGATCCAGAAATAGGGCCGAGGAAGAGAAATTTTATCATTCACACCCATAAATATGATGTTCTTTTTTTACTTTATCCCGGTAACATTTAGCTAAAAGGAATTATCAAATGTTTAGTTTTCTACTTTTGGAGGGCAAAAGAAGATGGTTAATACTTATAGAGATCAATTGCTTTTTTTGCTAATGTAATTAATTCATACATCTAGAATTCGAAGCTGAAATATTGTCTGATTTAGTAGCACATTGCACTCCACGGGTGAGTCTACGTCCATCGTAAAAATGGATGAGCGCATTATTAAGAATAATTAGCATGACTTTATATTTGGACAAGCTAAAGTACGACTAACTCTCGAATAAGTTCAGTTAATGAAAAAGGCGAAACCTTAACGCGACGAGGTACAGAGACCCATTGGACAGGTAAAGGGAGTATGCGTATGCGAATTTGAATTACTATATCCTTGAAAATGCTTGTCATAATTGAAAAAATCCAAAATTAGGAACCGGTGACCGGACTAGTTGGTCCTAGAACCGGGAACCGAACAGGACTCAACCACCGGTCCGGTCCAATAGAACCGATCACTTAGGGTTTAGTTTACATTTCACTAATTTTTTTAAAGAAGTAAAAAATATATATATATAGTCGGTCTGGTTCCTCTTTGGAATCGGGAACCGGACTGATACTCCCGGGAACCGGATCCGGTCCGGGCAGTTCCCGATTTGAGCGATCCGTTTTGCACGCCCCTATTCGTAACTAAAAGATCCAAGAAGGAACCCCCCACAATTTATGGGCCCATCGGACCTTATTTGTGGGATCTTGATTGAACAATCTCGCTTTAGTTAGAAGTGTCGGTGGATCTGTCAATTGCATCCACATCTGGCATCCGCACGCAGCTACAGGACATCGATCGGGCGTGGGAGTCTCGTGTCCTGAGGAGCAAGCCTTCGTGGGGGATCCGTCGCATGGCGTGGTCATGTCAAGTCGACTTCTCCCCCGTTCGGGGGTTTCCTTCATCAAAGGCACGTCCCCCTCCCCCCGCAGATCCAGGGAATCTGTAGTTTCCCGACCACGTGAAAGATTGACCCCACCGGGCATGCATCGGGGGACCCCAAACATCGCAATGCCCTCGCACGATTTGGAGTTCTAAGGTCCGATCACGGAGCAGCAACTCCCCTGCTAATAAGCGAAAGCGCCTATTTGCAAGCGGTTTCGCAGCGATGCCGTTCGAATGCCGTTAATGTGCTGAACTGACTTAGAAATTTGCAGGACTTTATTAGACCTGTCAAAATGGGTCATAAACCCATTTCTTAATCAATATATCAATAAATGAGTCATAAATGGATTAGTTATATTCACTAAATGATCATAAATGGGTATAAACATAATATGAGTGTTAAATAGATCATAAATGGATCGTAAAAGAGTCATAAATGGGTTTACAACCGATTTAAACTCAACTCATCTCTCTTGCCCTCGCTCGTTCTCGCGCTCACTCACTCCACATTCTTATCTCAGTTTGGGTATAAGTTTTCCTATATTTAGTTAAATATGGAAGTGTTTTAGCAATATTGATCGAATCGGGTATAAGTTTGGTATGGGTCAGGTATAAGCTGGGTATGGGTCGGGTAGGATATGAGTCATTAGATTTACATTAAATAAAAATGAGTCAAAACGGGTTAAATGGGTCTATTTGGATCGGACCATTTTCAACCCGACCCAAATCCGACCCGACCCACCCGTTTGGCAGGTCTAGACGCGACGCGTCTCGACCAACACCTTGTCATACGGAGTAAGGTTTTGAGGCGGTTCCATAGTATCTTGTCTCGGCGCCGGCGAATAAAAGAATCATCTCTTGCTACCAAGATAATTAGTTGCTAGGAGTTCTTGTCCGGTCGCCGGGGCTTCTAGTACTCTGGAATTTCGTCGAGTCCGCCAGAGGCCCATCGCAAAGAACCACTTGCGACCAAACACAGTGGGCCGTGGCCGCCCGGAACTCGACTTGGTCGCCGCGGTCGACATTTTTAGCTACCGAATTCTCGGAAATTGGTCCCTAGAAATGGATGGAGACTCACTTTCGATAATCAAAATCCCGAATTCGTATACGTCTCGCTAATCTCGCCGACCAGATAAGACGCCAGCTAAAAATCCGAGTAGATGAATCGAAGACGAATGGCACTGTACGTACAAGAATTGAACCCTACACGTACGTCCAATGCACACATGTGTCTCTCGTTCTTTGTCACTAACG